CAAATGCATTGAAAGTGGTGAAGAGAGTCATACTGTTGGGTAAATTGCTGAGGAATTGGTCAATGTGGTCATTGAGTTAGCTTGATAAGTTTGCCTACATAATGCAATAGGTGAAATTTGTCTATCTCTTAACAGTCTATAACTGCTAATCTCATAGTTTTCTTTGCATCATGAGGCTTTGGTATCAGAACAAAGCATTACAGTTGTCTTCCATGAGGCGAAGGTAGTGGCAATGGTTACTAACAATGCTGCACACATGAAAGCTGCCTGGAACCTGCTGCAAGAGCAGTTTCCAAAGTTAATCACACATGGATGTGGAGCTCATCTTCTCCACTTAATGAGTAAAACTTACAGAGTAAAGACATTTAAAATATCTACACCATTACTAATCATGTTGCAAGATGCAAGAGGATAATAAAATTCTTCAAGTACAAGTATGTTCCAGCAGCTATTTTATGCCATAAAGAAGAAGAAACAAGAGGAGTATCCCTTTCCCTTGTGCTACCATGCCCACCACATCACACGGGAACAACAATCCAAATGAATGGATCACTACAAAAGTCTAAAGCTGGTTGGGATTTCAAATGGACTTTAATTGGTTGGAGATGAAGTGAGCAGTTGCATCAGTGGTAGACAGGACCATCCGTAAAGATGTTCTAAATGATGACATCTTTAAGGCTTAAAATGAGAAGCTGTTGCAACTTCAGGAACCAATCCACAAAGTAATTCAAGGCAGTGAGGGGGAAAGATGTTCACTTGCAGAGGGAAAGTAATTGTTCCTTAATTTGGAACAGACACTGAAAGAGAATGTGCAGCAGAGTCCTTTGCTTTCACGTTCTTTGAAGCAAAAAGAGAAGGAAGAACTTCTAAGAGCAATGACCACTCACCATGAAATGTTTCACTGCCCTGCACATACAGCAAGCTTTTACCTCAATTCCAAAATATCTTGGATAAGGTCTCAATGAAGAAGAGTTTGAGGAAGCAATTGATGCTATTTGTATCATCCTTGATGGCAAGGAGCCAATGGCTGAAATTGCAGCAGAAATTGCAACCTTCATGTGAAAAGTGGCAATAATAAATCTAAAGTGCTCCCTGTAGCAGTAAAGATGACTGGTCTGGGATAACAAGATCTTTCTGTAGTTACCTGATGGGAGGGCTTATTTATGTCAACCATAACCTACACTTTTGCATGCAGCTCATTACTCTCAATGTCAAAACTGTCACAACTGTTGCACCATATCATTCATAAATTTCACTTGAGATGGACTTAGATCCTGATGATCCAGAGTCTGAGTTCCTTATGTTATCCCAATCTGGTAGTGGGGTCTTTTCTTATCATGACAATAATTTTTTATCTTTCTTACATGAAAGTAAGTGACTGGAAGTTTTCTGCTGATTCACAAGTAAGTGAATAGTCAGACATAAATCTCAGGTCAGCCTCTTTTTCTTCAGCCACAAATCCATATTTCTCACAATCCAAGACCATTGTCTGCAATCAGGCTCATGACCAAGAGTGAAAAGAAGCTAAAACCTGATTTCAAGTGATTTAATTGTGATTTAAAGACACAGAATGACATTGGCAGCAAGAAACCAGCCATTAGTGACTAGAATAAGGTGGATGCTAAAAAAAAGAAAAGAATCTGAACTTGATCTGATTTAAATTCCATATTACTTTAAGTGATTGTGATGTGAAGTGCCATGCCATACGTTTTTTGGCAGAAAAAAAAAAATTATCATACCAGAAACCATTAAAATCCAGTTCTGGACACATAACTGAACTCCTCATTATTCAGAGTACTTATGAAGCTACTTCATCACAGAATCTACCACTGAAACTACTGTTTTCAGTTAAATGTTCCAACTCATGCAATGTATAAGATAAAGTTTATCTTAGCAATGAGATGTTGACTGGTCAACATGGTCATTTATGATCATATACAGCCATGAAGTTTAGCCTCTTGTAGGGCTCGTAACCATAATTGTCTGCAAATGGTCAGAAATGACCATGTTGACCAGTCAACTCCCCATGCCTAGTTTGACACTTATGAATCATGACATACAAATTATGCATAAAGTATGCATGAAAGAAAATAAAAATAAAAATAAAAGTTGGTCTATTTTACATAATTGACCATGTTTGACCATATTGACCAGTCAATTGACATGTTTTCCATTGACTGGTCAATAACCCATCCCTAGTTGAGGTCCTTTCTTTTCAAAAGCTGGTGTTGACTGAGCTCTCCAATGAGGGCTCTTGCAATGTAGAGTAGGCAAACATTTAAGACTCCAAGAGAGAATTCCCCAGTAAGGCAAAGAATGCAATCATTTATCAACATTTAATGAGTTCAGTTGTTAATATTTTTAAAGAATTGTACACTATTCTCAATGTATTTCATACCCATTTTCACAGGAATTTACAATGGTACAAATACTGTACATTTGAAAAGTATGTCCAAACTCAATAGTAATGATAATCAATCTGGAATCCAGCACTACTAAGTTTTAAATGCTCTTATTTAGATAAGCAAAAGAGGCACTTCACAACACATATTTAAAACTGTCCATTGTAAAGAGTTGTACAACTTGTATACTTGCAATCATTAAAATAGCAATCAATGAGTTGTGAAAATCTAATTCAAATAAATCATTAGATCCAGAGATAGGAAAATTATAAATCCCTTCCAATGGCACCCAAAATATGTACCATATACAAGGTAGATCTCAGAAAGGGAAATGAAAAGAATTTTAATCTATTCAACGTGCAAATAAGTCAATTTTTCCATGCAAAATGCAGAAACTATTTCCTGTGCAAACAAATGAGTCATCCAAAAAGAGCAACTGCCTTCTCAGTTCTCCCGGCTCTCTTTCATGCATCAGCAGTCCTTTCCTGTTTAGTGTGGGGAACAAATTGCAGGAGATGGTCCTGCATCTGATGAGGCCAGTATTATGTGCTGTTTAGTTCACCCTTTTCATTGGTGGTAACTATCAATTAAACTGGACATTATGCATGAACCTGAAAATCATGACATTGTTAGTTATATTATTGATTTTGTATGGTATTGGTTAGGGCTGTACCGATAATGATATGGGCTCCAATACATTTACCAGTACAGGTGTAACACAGATCAATCATTTAACGATGAACAAATTAGGCAGCAACTGACAGAGCAAATGATAATTTCAAACTGAGAACAAGATTCACCATGTTCCAGCACACCTACAGATTGAGTTAGGATGATATGAACACATGAGCTACTTTCACAATGCTATCTATAGTTAAGAGACATGAAGTGTGTACCATTCTGAATCCATATTACTTTTCACTATCACCAGAATACTACCAATGGAAGGTCACCAGAAACAAGACCACAGCTTGCCTTGGGCTTTGAGACATCATTTCTTACTGTCTTTTGTTTTATAACACCTACTCCAGTAATTTTTCAAATTTCCTTTTGTTGACACAATCTTGAGCCTCTTAGCACCCCAGATGATGTTGTCCTGAAGAGACACATTTCCTTTTTCTCTCCTTTATATAACCAAGTATTGAAGGTGAATCAGAGATAGAGAGTGGAAAATATGTGAATACTGGTACACTTAATAAAATACATAAGTATTCAAAGTTTAACAAAAACATGCAGGCCTAATTCCAGGTGTCCCCCCCAAAAATTCATCTTGGTTTAACCTACCATAAACATGCATCCTTCAGAAGTGAATCCAAGAACATCCTTTTCCATTACCAGGCAATAACTTTCCTCAATGTACCTGCAGTGGGTACTTAAGAAAAAAACTATTCCTCACATTCAGCAGACCTAAGGATTCCCTTCCTTTTTGAGTACTGTTGCATCAATATGAGGGTCCTCTGATCGAGCCATATCCATAGCTTGGTAATTCATTCATGCTAGACATCGCGTGCGTTTTCTGTCAACCAATGATGGCAAAATCATAGAATCACATTGGAAATGCACCAGTTTATAGAATGTAGAAGCCCCCCATAACATGCTCATGGATACTAGATATTTTATTTCATTTATTCAAGAAAATAATTTCAGCAATGGATGCAAATCCATGGGCCAGGTCCAGCATAAAGTGGGTGGAAAATATAACACTGAGCAAGGAAAAAGAAAAAAAAGAGAACAGAATGTCATGAAAAACCAGCATTTCCATCAACAGACTGTACTAATGGACTTCGTGGACACTATGGACTCATGCAGAAACCAAGTACAGATGCTTCACCAAAAAAAAATAAAGGGAGATCCTTAAATAGTCATTGAAGTGACCTGCTTTGTGTGTGGGGGCATCATGTAAATTCCTGAATTTCCTTCCATAAGAATCATTTCTATAGATACTTAGGGCAAGAATATACAAAAGAAAATACTTTCCAGATATTTAAACCTGTTCTGCAAGTTATGCATGATGTCATAAGGTCACACAAGGACTTTCTACAAGATTGTGTTTTGAAAAATAATCAGGTGAATTAGAGATGCGATAATGCTTTCGAAAGCACAATCCCCCAGGACAATGAACTGAACTTCCCTTTATATCCCAGGAACTTCATTGTTTCTATTGAGGTTTGCTACTTCCACGTCAATACCACACATGGTCTTCTCTGTCCAAATGGAATAAACCTTTTTCACATCTAGAATTTTAGTGAAGAGATACTTTTTAAGTCAATGAATAGAATATCTACTGGATTTGTTTTAGAGCATGCGAAAATCATACTGAGTGATTATTCTCTCATCTACTATGAGAGATACCAACAGAGGGGGCACCTAATGCTGATGGATGTTTCAATCTGCGGGAAAAAAACATACAATTATCATTATTTCTTAGTTGTCAATGTCATGCTAAGAAATGTAGAATATTCTGAGAATGAGAATTTTAAGCTTTCAGTAAAGGAAGGTTCCATATGAATACAAACCTTTAATCAAAGCTTCACGGTTTCCCCGAAAAATAGTTCAAGGAGCAGTTTGCAAAATTGTGTCAAACTGAAATCAAAGATGTGTTGGAGATTCTGCTAGAATTGATGAACCTTCTTTCAGCAGCTTGGGTTTGAAAGTCGGGAAATCAGAGCTAGTACACGAGTACGGTTATCATGGCTCCAAGCAAAACAATTTTAATTTCAAACCTCCAAAAGTGGTTACAGGTTTGCAATAGATTGGAACAAAGTTATTTCAATTTCACTCCCACCAAGGAGGCTCCCGTTTCCTGTTCCCAACTCCCACGTCACCAGAAGAGGATGGGTACGGCTCGAACGATGCAGGTCTGTTCTTCACAAAACCCTGTATTAAGCAGTATGGAGGTGAAAGCCTCGAGACAAACTGAAGGATCCATGTGAAGGCATCCACAAGGAGTGTCTGGATCCTGGGACAGGTGTCATTCGTCAGATTCCCACCCATGACACGATGCAGTTGGTAAAATGTCAATGGTTGGGGCTTCCTCACTCCTTTGGCTTCAGGACATCCAGTTCTCTGCTAGAACACGAGGATGGAAAAATATTAGCCATACATTCTTCGCTTTGAAATGGTATAGTAACATACAGCATGGGACACCATATATAGTAAGATAACAGATATATACAAACTAACATTCCAGTTCTCTGCTAGAACACAAGGATGGAAAAATATTAGCCATACATTCTTCGCTTTGAAATGGTATAGTAACATACAGCATGGGACACCATATATAGTAAGATAATAGATATATACAAACTAACACTTTGCACTAGTATCTACCCAGCCTTCTGAGCAACAGGGATTGACACCAGGTTATGGTTCCTTTGTATCACAAGAGTGAACATCTCCTGCAAAGGAAAGCAGAAGCAGCAAGGAAGCACAATTTGAAAAAGTGAGTCAGGCATTCACAAGCAATGAGTTAGGAGGTTAAGAGGCTGTGCTGTTAGCATCACACATATGTAACATTATCATCATTCAATACTGCAACAATCGCCCCAACATTACAGCACCATCAATCAACTTCATAAACATTTAAAAAATTGAAGCACTAAGTACTTTAATTTTAAGTACTAATCCTTGGATATCATCCATCAATGTCCAAGTGTCCTTGAATGTAGGTCCAATGGATTCATTTTTGCTAAAATTTACTAATTTGGGCATTTATTTAATCCTCCAAACAATGATCTGTCAGGAATTCTGTTCAAATCTATCAAAGCTATTTACTTATTTTATTTCAAGCTATTTCCTCCAAGTCACATAATTAAAACAAAGTTCCCCCTTAAGAATTTTTTTACTTCCTCCCTGGCACATCATGTCCACATATTTAAAGAGTCCACATATGATCTGTCCACTCCCCACCCTCAGCCCCCCCCCCTCATTCCAAAACCAGTTCATTATACAGGGTGTTTCACTTGCTATTGGCCCCAAATTTTTCCTCATAACTTTCAAACTAATTGACGTAATGTAGTGAAATGTGACACAGACATGCTTGCGTGACGTGAAGGCCTGTTTCCTGTTTGCCGCTGTAGTCAGTATGGATGGTGCGACAATTCTGACAGTGGTGTTGTGTACTGTATCGTCCACATTCATCATGCCTGTGTGTTACGTGAAATCCTGTACAGTATGAACCGGTACACAGTTGAACAGCGCGTGTTTATTGTCCGCACGTACTGGAAAACTGCATCGATAAAGGCGTGCCAAAGACAATTTATTGAGCAGTTTGGGGGTCGAAAACCACATGCAAAATTCGCCATTCAGCATCTGGTGAAGAAACTGGAAACCACTGGAACATTGTTGGATGTCCACAAAGGAGGCCATCCGAAAATGCCAGAAGCAACGGTGTAGGACGTGAAAAACAGACTGCTAGCCTCCCCGCAGAAGTCCTTGCATAAACTGTCGCAGAAGATGGGGGTTTCCACAAGCACGTCAAAGAGCTGCAAAAAAAAAGCCGACCTGCATGCATACAGTGTTACTGTTGTTCAAGAATTGAAAGCTCCCGACCAGCAGAAGAGAGTCATGTACTGTCGTTGGTTCCAGCAATTTGCCAATGACAATCCCAGCATACTGAACTATACGTGGTTCCACCTAAGTGGTCACGTTAATTCCCATAATACCCGTATTTGGGCGAGTGAGAATCCTCACGAGGTGTATGAGGAACCTCTTCATGCTGAAAAACTTGGGGTGTGGTGTGCCTTGTTGTGGCGCAGCATTATCGGCCCCATCTTCTTCCACACAACGGTGGATACCGCAGTCTACATGGACATCTTCCATGAGTTTGTGAATCAGTTGGACGACGAGGAAATCAGTACTGGCTTCTTTCAGCAGGACGGTGCAACCTGCCACCCCTCCAATGTCAGCATGGCTGAAATTGCTTCATTCTTTGATGATAGTGTCATTTCCAAGGGACTTTGGCCACCAAGGTCGCCTGACCTTACACCACCGGATTTCATCCTATGGGGCATGCTGAAAGGGAAAGTGTACCGCAACAAGCCACAGACTGTCATGGCACTGCAAGAAAACATTCGGCGAAAAATTGAGGCTGTGACTCCCAATATGTTGGTGAAAATCTTCCGTAACATGGAGTGGCGCGTTCAAGCATGCCTGGATGCTAATGGCGGACACTTTCAACACTTTCTATGATGTCATCATGCTTCCCATACATCAAGGTATGTCTGTGTCACAAATAAGTGTGCCAAATAGCAAGTGAAACACCCTGTATAAGCCTGTAGTCAAAGGTTAACTTTTCAATACCAGGGGCCAACAGCTAATTCATTGAAAATTGCACTAATTTGCTGATAAAATTCATAATCCCAACAAAAACAAGTTAACACTCTCCTTTTCATGAGCACAAGATTTTTTGCAGTGATTCTGGTATACCCTTCATTTGTTTTGGCATCATTCTCTTTACTTTCTCCCATCAAATTCACCTTGGCTATCATACCCCTCCAGTTCTTTCCAAACATATGTCCATGAAATGTTGCTGCAACATGACTAGAGTTAAATGATGTTGCGATAACATCGCAAGGACATCACGTAGATGTGTTGCTTGGTTTAGGTTCTAATTCCTTCCTTTGTAATGGTGGACTATCCATACCTTCTTTCAAAAAAACATAATAAAATTGCAAGCTTCAAAGCATACCTCACTTGTAACATCCCTCATTCATAACACCTAGAAAGATTATTCACTCCAATATTCTATTTCTTCAAATAAAATTCATCTGCTTTTCTTCAGGGGACTACTTGTTTTCAGTGTTCAAAGAACAGTCATATTAAACATGACTTTCACCATTACATGGAACAAATTTCAGGGTGTTGAGTAACTTAAAGTCTTAGGCTTCCAAGTTTCCCTTGTGAGTGCAGCCTCGTGAAACCTAGCATTGTCATCCTGCAGAATGACAACACTAGCCCACAAATGGCTACACACAAGTGTGAGGCTTAGCTTTGGCATTCTGCAACATGACAATGCTGAGGCTCACAGTTGCACAGACAAATGCAAGGATTAGCATTGCCATTCTGCAGCATGACAACACTAGGCCTTGCACAGCTGCACAACACAGCTAAGCATGAGGCTGGGCCTTGTCATTCTGCAGCATGACAATGCCCAGGCCTCTGACAAAAAAAAGCTCCAAGAAAACTTGAAACACCCATTGGGAGTAAATTAGAATTACTATGAGATTGAAGCCCCCCCTGCCCTCCTTAGTCACCTTCACCTGATCCTACTTCCTTGCCATCTGCCCTTCCAGCCAACAGCAGCATGATGCAGGGGTGAAATATAAATCCCAGCTACATACCCCTAATAAGAAGCCAACACCTTAACTCAGCACCCTCTACCACATGTCTGCAAGATCCCTATCCACTTGAAAAACCCTTTGTCAGTGAGGTAAACCATTCCCATGCTTTCCCTTTAATTCCATCTGAAGAACACACTGCCCTCTTGGTGAAGCTGCATTCAACTGGATATTACCCCAAACTCACCACCTAAATGCTATAACTAATGCAAAAGTTATACTCCATTTCACTATCAAAATCACATACTCTTAAGCATCACATTCCCTAAAAGGAGTCCTCTTATATCCCCAACCAAATTCTTCAACTTTCCTTTGAACACAAACCATTTCTCCACAACATCACACAGATATACAGATCCCTTGAACTTCTCTCATTAGCTGTCACTCCAGTCACTAATTTTATACTTGCCCAGAATTACATAACCCTCAACTGGAAAGCGCATGGAGGACATCACCTCAACCTTGATTTCACTGATTACACAAATTGCACTGTCATTAAGCTTACCCACCACCTTCTGGCCAAAAAATACCACAGCACAATGCTAGTGTGAAGCCTTAAAGCAAAGCAATGATCCATAACATATACAGATGAAGCCATCCACTTTTCAAGAACCAATGAAAAAAAAACATGGAAAAAAGTCAATCAACATTCAGTGACAGCTGCTAAAAAAAATGATGCAGAATTTAGAGAAACCAATGTATACAATTCTTCCCCATAACATGTAAAGAAACAAGGGCTTTCATAGCATACTTTTTAAATCTAATCTTTAGGCACATTCATTCAAATTTAATTTAAATCCCATCCAGAACAAACATGCAACCCCTCTGTTATTATTCTGTAACTATTCTGTTGGTTTGCTACTTGTGGATCATCATACAAAGTCTGAAAGTGAACCCCAATAGGACACAAACTTCTCTGCACCCCAAAACTGTAGCTTCAAATGCACCAGCCCCTTCCATGATGAAATCCAGTTGTGGGAACTAATTGGGACAAAGGAAATCAGCAGGTGTTCATATTTTAACACTTTCAGAGCAGTGGACAAATTTTTCCAACCATGTGTACTCATTCATAGCTTTTTCTTAGGTTTCTTCCCTCATGTAGTTGGGGTTCTTGTTGGATGGCACAAAAATCGACCAGTAGCATTTTTTAAGTACAGGTTGTCCTGGAATGGTTACATTGATTTCACATGCAGTTTGCACTAAAAAAGGTAAGAGTTGTGAATTTACACACAGCAAAATAGACTTAGTAGTTCGTTAGTTTCCTATTGTTAGGCATTGTAAACAAATTCTCAATGTGTGACGCTCTAAAATCTGTTATGACATCTAGGAAGCAAAAGGCTAAAAGCTTGATATAGTTTATGAAACTTCAATTCATAAACTCGTGTCCAGAGTGAATTGAGACAGATGTATGATACAGACTAACTCCTTTACAAAGACTCCATTTGAAGATGGTACAAACAATATGAAGAAAGTGGAAGTGTGGAACCATAAGCATCTCCTGGTAGGCCTCACATGGAGAAAACACATTCACCAGGTATTTTTACAAAGTTCTCACAAATCCACGTGACTAGCTACACTTGAATTTCAACTCCTTATATACATGGTACATTTATGTGCTTCAGACAACTACAGTTGCATGGATTTAAGGAGTTCACTTCATGAAAATGCATAGTAAATGCATTTCATCCTCCATGCAAGGCATGTTCCATACATGCACCAAAATTCATGCTGACACATGTGACTGAAATTGTGCTAACCATAAGGCACATAACCTTTTGCTTTCAAGATGCCATGAACCAATTCTAGAGCACAACATACAGTGATTACTGGCTTACAACACCTCAATGGAAGAAAGATATTCAACTTATCAGGGTAGATGTTGTTGTAGGGAGAAAACTGTCAGAGGGTATGAGAGGTATGAGTAGTAACATCCAGAAGACTACTTTAGGTCACAGATAGGGTCCCTTTCAATGCTCCATGCCCATGCTAATGAAAGAAAAAAAAGCAGCAAAAATTCCATTAGTATCAAATCAATGATGTGGCCACAGAATCTTAAGGAATCATTCATTCAACAAGAACCATCACAAATAAAATTGTGAAGCAATGGAGGAGCATGAGAGACTTCCTAAAAATTAAAGGATTACATTTGGCCAGGACCCAATTTCACTTAAAATAAAAACACTAACATTTACACAAACCTCTCAAAGACTCGCATGAAAAATAACAGCAACTTAGATACCTGCAGGATGGGCTGGCTAAATTGATAGAGAAAAGGAAACCTATGTATCACAAAAGGACAAAACTCCACTCACCATGGTGCAAGCAGCTATCACAAAACAGCAAGCACTAAAATTACTTAATATTATTACAACCATGCTAAGTATATTCAAAAAAGAAAAGGGCAACCAATGGAATGGGAGGGAGGGGGATGGTGGGTAGAGGAATACCCACCAGATAATCAGGTGAGAACAATGGAAAATTACTACTCTCAAGATATACAGCTGAAATAGAAATTTGATTTTAAAATAGAGAAATAAAAATACACACCTGAAAAAATAACTCCATGAGCATTATGCTCACTAATTTTAAAACTACTTCCAATTAAACTTCGAAATGTCACCACAGCTTCATACCCTAAAGGCATACCTTTGCAAAACTTCAGCCTTCCATGGAAAAAGGGGGATTTTACCTGACCAGATTAAAGAATCCATGTTGAAGCAATTGAGTTTAGGGAGAAGTCTTTTCAAGAAGCACTGAATCCTCCCAACAGATGATTTTTAACAGGAAAATTTGTGTATTCTCTCTCATCCCATTAAGTTCATAACAAAAACTTCTTGCGCATAAGTATTCAGACCTTTTAGTTTCATTAAATTTCTCTCATGGAAGACTAAGAAAAATTAGGTTCAATGCTTTTGGCTCAACTTGGAAATAATGATCAGGGGTATTCTCAGTATAGGTTTTCTAAAGTAAGGAAATGTGACAAGGAAGTCAGATCACTGGGCAGTATGGAAACACCAAAAGTGACAGTCAAACATGTTACTGTGGTGTATGTCAAATTTTAGGAAAAGTATGTTTCAGTATAGGTTTTCTAAAGTAAGGAAATGTGACAAGGAAGTCAGAGTCACTGGGCAGTATGGAAACACCAAAAGTGACAGTCAAACATGTTACTGTGGTGTATGTCAAATTTTAGGAAAAGTATGTTCAACATAATGAAAGTCAAATGCAACAGATACACAATATCATAACTGTATTAGGGCAATGCCTCTCGTTAGACTTTCATAATGTGTGGCTTCAGGTGCATTTACATGCTCCTCTTTTGGAATACCTCATTTGGTATTTACCTATTTGTCAGGGTTAGTTAAGGAACAAGCTACCACCAATCATTTAGGACAGGAAACCATTTTTGCAGGTGGAAAAAAAAGCAAAGATTTGGGGTTCTAAATCCTCAATTGATATCCTTTTTAAATACCTATTTGTCAGGGTTAGTTAAGGAACAAGCTACCACCAATCATTTAGGACAGGAAACCATTTTTGCAGGTGGAAAAAAAGCAAAGATTTGGGGTTCTAAATCCTCAATTGATATCCTTTTTAAATGCATATCTGGCATAATGGGGTCATTGACCCTAACAATAAATAAAAATAAACAAAGTTCAATGCAGTTGCAACATAGTGCACCAGGCACAGACAACAAAACAAATTCACAATGATTGGGAAATATAATCAATATAAAGTGGAAATGTAGAAAGGAAATCCCAAATGCCAGTGAGGGGCAGACAGGATAACCATTTTGTTTGGACAAGAAAAAAGGGGGAGGACAACTTTGACATGGTGGAAGGCACCATCTCTGGGGATGTTCAGGTTTTGCTTCACCTCACTGTACCTCTTATGGAATGATAGAAGCACATTATAGGAGCAAGAGAGATGTTTGTATCACCACAGTGCTAAGCATCCAATAGGAGTGAAAATTACTAAATCAAATTTTTGGCCTATTATTCATGCACAAGCTTTAAGAAATTGGAGTGATTGTACCCATATTCAAATTTGACCCTTGTACCTAGAATTGGTGCTTGCAAGGGGAAGCAATGGTCTACTTGAGCCAGTATTGAGTTTAATTGAATTTTAGAGTAAATTAGTCACTTCTTTGTATTTATTCACTGATACCATCTGCCCCATTGCGTCCCATGCACGACACATTTAAGCAGCATCTCCCTAGGACTAACCCTGACTTATACAATACAAGCCAAAAAATATTAATTACAATAAGAGCACCAAATGCAAATACTATAATTCAAAACAGTGAAAATACTGAAAGGCATTCCTCTGACAGATATGGTATGCATACATGATGCATTTGATTGTCCTCATGTTAAATTCCTTTTCCTTAAAATCCTAAAAGCAGAACCTCTACCCACCAAAACTCACTGACAGGCATCAGGATTCACCACAGGCATTGCTGGATCGATGAAAAACCCATTGCATTTGATTGTCCTCATGTTAAATTCCTTTTCCTTAAAATCCTAAAAGCAGAACCTCTACCCACCAAAACTCACTGACAGGCATCAGGATTCACCACAGGCATTGCTGGATCAATGAAAAACCCAGTGGCACTTGCAATGGTACTCTCACATCCTGGAGAGTATAGAACTTGCAATTAGTTCAGAATGAATATGCAGAAACTAAAATTCATTTCTAGAGCAATAATACATTCACAATACCAAATCACCCTCATGTGAACAAAAAACCTTCAAGGAAACTGAACCATAAATAACTTTTGTAAAATCTTGCTACACAATGTTAGCAGTACTTTCTGCTTTGTCAGGTCCTCTTCTCCGCCAGGTCCTCTTCTCCGCCAGGTCCTCTTCTCTCAAAAAAACCTGTCAACTCCTAAAATCGACTGGTTAACACGTTAGCTACGAAGTCTATTAGTCACTTTGCATTTTAAAAATTGCGAGAATATTTCCGCCAGGTCCTCTTCTCCGCCAGGTCCTCTTCTCCGCCAGGTCCTCTTCTCCGCCAGGTCCTCTTCTCCGCCAGGTCCTCTTCTCCGCCAGGTCCTCTTCTCCGCCAGGTCCTCTTCTCCGCCAGGTCCTCTTCTCCGCCAGGTCCTCTTCTCTCAAAAAAACCTGTCAACTCCTAAAATCGACTGGTTAACACGTTAGCTACGAAGTCTATTAGTCACTTTGCATTTTAAAAATTGCGAGAATATGACAGCATTCTTTTGGTCTTTCCGAAACAAAAGTATGAAACGCAATATTCTACAGTCAGAATTTACCTGTCCACAGGACCTCTACCTATATGTTCAGAAGTTCCTTCACACCGTATATAACGTTTCTTCGCTTTACGCTTCGTACTATGGCAATCATGAGTAAAACACTTAAATGGATTAACCAAAATTACCTGAAAACCCGACCTATTATTTCGCCATACCTACCTCTTCCTCAAATGCATGAACACCATTGGTCAATGCGATGACCGTTTCCTACCTTTTCCGAATTCCATGTTCACTCCGATTTTAAGCCCAAAAGGTCGAACATTTCGGAAACCCATCCCGAAAGAAACTGGTAACCGTCGACACTAATGCTTCGCAGTATGCGATGACTTCGTTTCCTACCTTTTCCGAATTCCATGTTCACTCCGATTTTAAGCCCAAAAGGTCGAACATTTCGGAAACCCATCCCGAAAGAAACTGGTAACCGTCGACACTAATGCTTCGCAGTAACATGCAACTATGTTTCGTGTTTGCGACGACTGCTTCTTGACTTTCTTCATAGCGAGGAGCCGACAGAAATGGCACGGGACAAGGCCAGGGTTGGAAGAAGGGAGAGACCAGAACTCCCACCACAAGGCTTCTAACGTTCCTCTTGCGTCCGCAGTCGAGCGAGGTCTAACGTCATCGTTCTGCAGCACGACAACGTTTGGCTGCACTCGACTGCACGCACGCAAGGCTTAACGTTGTCATTCTGCAGCATGACAACGCCAGGCCTCGCGAGAGAAACGTTGCAAGTCTTGCGATGGAAACGTCTGCCTCACCCACCGACCATTTGGACAAAGGCTTCCCATATTCAACAAAATGAGTTCTATCCATTTGGAGGAAGAAAAGGCAGTCATGCACAGGTGGAAACAAGATTCCGTGGAGGTAAAATATATTTTTAATACCTGAGAGGGGTTTCCAAAAATAAAAATATATATTTAGACAAAAAGTAGCCAAATAAATTCCTATTGCGCAGTTACCTTCAGAACCATAGTCACTGCTACTACCTTTTTCCACCACGTGGCCGAGGCTCATCTAAGTTGGTTAACATATTTGCGGCGAACAGCGAAACGGAACGAAGCGAAGTTAGGCACGGACATGGACTTCAAAAGGGGTACTTCGATTCCCACCCGTGGAGGCAGACTTAGTAGTTAGAACCCTGCTTCTTGACCGGGGTTGCATTTTGCATCTAGTTGGCCTGCTCCGTCGGTACCACGTCCAGGTTCCTCGAGCGAAACCACATCCTAATAGGGCCCACGTCGGGCACCCCGCCTCAACGCTTTTCCCAAAAAAGCCTATCGTATGATAACGTTACCGTAACGTAAAAGCCACTTCACGAGTAATCGGGTGTTAGGCCTAACTTGGTCCCACTTAAATATCCTTCATTTAATTAGTATTTTCGGACACAATGGCAGCATCTTAACCGTGCAAGAGCCGAAGCAACGGAACGAGAACTCCCGAACCGTGAGAAGCCTCGAGAAGGAATACCACGGAACGAACTCACGAGAGATGCCTGTGAAGAAGTCCTCCGGACTACGGACTAATCATACCATGTTGTGATGCAATGACGAAGACAAGAAAATTGGAAAGACGGGAGAAAAGCCAAGTAGGTGACATGAAGGGGCGACGCAGAGACACCTCCGTCCTACTTGGCAGCAGGCAGACGAAAGAAAAAAGAGGAGAGCTACGCAATACAAGGCTTCCGATCCAGGCTGTTCCGCGGGTTTTTCACCATCTGACCAATAGCGTAACATCATTCGTGTTCCACTCATGCGCCAAGAAGGAGCCGCAGGCCGAGTCACGTCCGGATGTTCTCGGTGCGGAAACTTCTCGGAGGCCGAGTCGCGTTCGGAATGGAGAAAAATTGCCGACGCCGCAGCACGGCATCGGGTGTCCTGCGTCTCCGTCGCCATCGTAATTTCACATCCCGACGTTGACCTCCGTTCCTCGGAAGGTCCGGACGGCGTCGTGCCCTCATCCGATGTCGCTCGCGACTCTTCGCGCGACTACGGCACACGGTAGCGATAAAATCACGAAATCGGCACGAACGTCGGCCTCACCGCTTCCGCATTCAGAAGCGACAGGAATTTCGAATCCTCTCGTCTTCGAATCCGGCTCTCCACCCGCGTTTTCAAAGTCCCGTTTTTCGCATCGACAGTCATATCGATGGAGAGGAACGTGCACGTCCGTTCACGATTTCGGACGGAACGTCGGTGAAATTTAGTCGAATACGCTCTTAAGACACGTCATCACGTCGAAGGATGCAACTTGGGGGTAAACCATATGGGAGGGATGGAATTCGTGGCGCCGACCCTATTTCCCATCGAACGGTTGCGACTCGGACGAACCCACGTCGGAAGGTCGACGTGACTTTTTTTTGCATCGCCGTACGAGTGTCGTCCGAAAAACGAAGCATGCCGACGGGGAAACCTCCGTACCTGCCGACGGGTCGAAGAACGAGGCGAGAAGAAGGCTCCCGTGACGTACGCGAGGAAAGAAGGTCGCACGTTGGGGTTCCCGTGCGTTCGCTTCGTTCCGCTCGTCCGCTCGACCCGTTTGTCCTCCGGCCGACGGATGGTGGCGACTCGGGCGGAGACGAACGAGTCGTACCTACGCGACTGCACGTGCGACAGACCGATGCTCGCCTGCCCGAGTTGCCGAGTTTTCGATTCTGTTCTTTTATGACACTTTATGCCGTCCGATCCCATTCGACTAACGCGCGAGGAAGTCCAATGAATTGCATATAGATCGGTTACTCACCGGGCCCATTGCTGTTCAGTGGGGAAAGTTTTTTATAATTATTTTTTTTTCTCTTTTTTTCCTTTTTTTTTCCTGAACGTGTCGGAGATTCTTACAAGTGTGTCTCGTTTTCATTGTCTGCGCTATGGCATTTTTGCTATGGTGTGCTTGTTGAAACTATGTGCTATGACATATTAAAGTTCTTTTGAAATCCCAACGATCGTTCTCGCGTTTCCGAAAAACACACAGACGGCGAAAGGAAAGAGACGACGACATCCAAATGTCGGGATTTAGTGCATCGTCTCACGATCGGGGGTGTCGGTCCCGACCACTGAGCTAAGTCCCGACCCGACACGCCTGCACAGACGAGCCCCTTCGGCATTAGACCTGCCCGAGACGAGACGGACTCGCGCGTCTCGGTTTCGTCGAGTCGGAGAAACGCAGACGGCCAGAAGGGCAAATCCCCGAATCCCAATCTCTCTCCTCACGAGACGTAACAGGAGTAGACGCCGGTTTTCCTACTCTTCTCCGTTATTTTTTTAAATTTCCTCCCTCTTTTTCCCGAAAGACTTTCCGTTCGTTCGCATCGCCCGTGCATATAATGGCAGATAGAGAAGCCGAACGCACCTGGACTCGGAAAAGCTGCCACTCGGAAAAAAAAGTTCCTGGAATAGGCATGACAGAAAAAAAAAAACACAAAAGCCAGAGGAAGCTCATGACGTCCATGCTTGCTTTTAATGTAAAAGCCTTGTGAACTACAATCCTGTGTGTCAACTTCTCACAAAATTGCAAAGCATTAATCAGTGATGTCTTGATTGCAGTTGTCAGTGATTCACTTCCAGTATGCACTTCTCTTGTTGCTGCTCTGCAAATACA